AGGGATTCCTTCCCCACATTTTTATGCATGGTTGTCCCAGAAGGGGTTCTGCCTTCACTATTCTTCTCTTGCCACTATTTCCGCTCCCCTTTGAAGATGTAGAAATGGACGAGTGTTGAATGAAAAGTAATGCCTCCACCTTCATTACTTGGGTTTTGATGGGAATATTTTAATAGATCAAATGCAGAAATAATCCTTAGAATGTGCTCTTTAACTACCACTATTTACTTTTCCACATAATCACCAGACAATGGGATACATTTCTGCCAACGATGAACAAGTTTTCTGAAGCTGTCACAGAAGTAGTCGACACTGTTTCCACAACAGTTCTCTCATCCTGGGTACCCATTGTGTACAGATTTTCTGATAGKCAAAAASAGCAATAATGTGACCCAAAAGTTCTTGTGAAATGCCGATTATGCTCAAAATTTCTCCCTGACTGATACGACGATCGTCCTGAGTCAATCTGTCAACCGTTTGCTTGTGAAACTAGGCAGTTGCTGTCATAGGACATCCAACTCTTTGTTTGTAACACTAGTCAGATGTTCCCACCTCAACATCTTTAAACTTACTTGCCCAATGACACACAGTACTCACATCAACACAATAACCCTAAATAGCTTYCATTCTCTGATAAATCTCCTTTGGGGTGACACCTTCTGCTGTCAAGAATTCAATGACTGCACGTTGCATTGACCGACTGTCTGCGCAGGGTTCCATACTTTGCACTTTAACAACACAATCGTTCAATGCTAAGGCATCCCGCCAAAATGGAACTGTAGAGGAGAGTCTACTGAATAAGCCAGTACCCACTGCATACCAGTACTGCCATCTGTTGAGGAGTTACGAAGGTGGAGGCATTACTTTTCATTCAACCCTCGTAATTTCTGTGAAAGATGAGGTAACTTTTTCTTAAAAGGTATTTTTATTGCCCTGGGTTTGGCCATGTGATCTTTTCTCCATTTTGGTCTTTTTTCCTTCTGCCTTTGTCTTCCTTTGAGTGACGAGGCATTTTGTCTTTCTCCAGACAAAATGTAGCTGCATGAATAATTTTGCTATTTTTATCCTTTTACCTTCCTTAGAAGATAGCTTAAAAAGCTAGTTAGCTCAAAGACCCTTTTTTATCTAGAATGGATTTCTTTTTTACTTCAATATATATTTTTGGAACCTAAAGTTGTGATTATGCAATTCTGATCCATCCTCTTGAATGGAAGCTTATCCTGGCTCACCACGCGTAAATATCTGCTGGTTGTGAACTGTGCTTCTGGCACTCTGCTATATTACTGGGGAATCACCCCAAGTGAGTGTTATTTTGAGTCTAACAGCTCTGATTTCGAACAATGGGTTATGGGCCCAGCCCAACAACCTGGAGGTCCAAAGCTTGTCCATGCCTTGAGTAGATGATATAAAAGAATAGTTTAAAACTGAATCTTTGGAAAGCTGTTACTATCCAGAGACACTGCCTAATGACTTCTTTAATTCTTACAAAATTCTGAAAATATTTACCTGCTGATGAAAAATCAGGTAAATATGGGGTGGTCATTATAATTCCACCCCATTCCATCAAGCCCACTGATCTTTTCACCTCTCTGTATTAAAATGACTTATTTCTGCCTCTCTGAATGTCCTATAGAAACAAAGGACAAAGTAAACACCCAACAGAATGCTCAGATCTTCTTTAACCCAAATTCATACAAAAAAGAATCTTGCCCAGAGGTCTTCTGTTTCTATATATTCAAAAGCGGTGACCGTTCAAACCTGGCAGCCCTTGGATAAAAACTAGCCCAGTGGACTTTGTTTTGCCACTTTAAAGGCACTAGTGTTGACACAAAAATCTGAGATTCAAGTGATGTTGTTTGAGCAGTTCAAAGGTTTTAAACACGTGCATCTTTTTTTGCTTTCAAAACACAAACAGACCACATTCTATGTACAAGAAGCACCTTGTTTCATTTCAGCTGGGAAATGTGTGCGCATCAGCGCCTGCATGCTCACCAAAGCATGGTGACCAGAGAACTTCATTTTGGCATGTCTGGAGAAGAATAGCACCAGAAACCAAGGAAGGGTTCTGCATAGAGCAAGGCATTTGGTTATATTTTTATTGCCTTTCCCAGGCAGTGGTGAAAGGCATCTTCAAGCTACCAAGCACAAATGTTTTTGTAAACTAGGAGAGAGCTGGTGTGTTTCCTGCCGCTGATGTGTCACATGCAACCAACACAGATGTTGACTCAAGTTTAGACCCATGTCTTTGCAAAGCCATTTTTTCCTTCTGGCATGTTCTGGGATGAACTAGAACAGGCATGGGCAGTTCTTGAAGGAGAACATCCTTCTCTTAAGGAGGCGGATGGTGAGTCCGAGAACACGAAGGTCCAGGAACCGCGGATATGGAGGCCCATGGATACCGAGAGCTGTAGATGCCAGGTCCCATGACTATGGATAATCATGGGACCTGATATCCACGGGGTCTCAGTATTCGCAGGTCTCCATATCCACGGGCCAAAGTCTGCCCATGCCTGAACTAGAAGCATATTGGTATGCCAAGAATTCTGCCCTTCAATAAAAATTCTGCCCAAATAAAACTTTCCTTCCATCCCAAAAGGGTGAAATAGTGAAAATACTCATACCTAGTTATCTCACATTGTCTGCCTTCATATCTCCTTCACAATTGTACTGGTACCATTTCTCTGACTACTTAAAACAGTATTGCTAGATGTTTACATGAAGTTGTAAGTTACTGCTGAAGGGGCATGGGCTTACTAGCACTCCAAATGCACAAGCTTAGGAGTCCCCTCAAAGATTCTGGTAGCAGTTCAAGGAGGAGGCCATAAGTTGGATTCTTACTACAAAGGCTTTTATTGTGGGCCTGATGCCACACCCCATTACAGCACTGCAATGCTCAAAATTATGGAAATGATGGAATATGTCATCAGGGAAAATTCCTGCTGGGAGGGCAAGAAGATAACCAAATTGGGAATGGAAGAGGCCTTCTGCACGATACTTCAACATACAGCAATTCTATAAATGAGACACCTCCAAGTCAACCTAACCTCAACAGTCCTGCTCCGGTCTTACAAACTCAGGCAATGGCTTCCTTGATTTAGCCTAGGCACAGGCAAACTTCAGCTCTCCGGGTGTTTTGGAAAGGGCCTGAGGCTGTTAAGAATTGTGGGAGTTGAAGTCCAAAACACCTGGAGGGCCAAAGTTTGTCCATGCCTTATTTAGCTTATCCACCTGGAAAATGGCTTTCCTCTTTTCCAACAGCCTTCTCCCTTACCAAACATCATTACCTTTTCTATTCAGTCCTCTTTGTTTTCATAATATGGCTAAATTATGGCAGTGTAGTCATCCTGGCCTCCAGGGAGGGTTCAGGCTTTGTCCTAGGACATATCTATTCCATCTTTTTTTAACAGAACTGTTCTCCAGACCTTTTCAAATGAGTTGCTTTTCTTCCTATCAGCTTTCTTCACTGTCTAGCTTTCCCAACCACACACAGAAATCAGAACTATAATGGTATGGACAATCTTAACTTTAACATTCAGTGATATATCATTGCATTTCAACATTTTGACTACTTCTTTCCAGATGCACACCCCTTGCCTTCCATTTCTTAACTGCGGCCTCCATTTGGATTAATGACTGAGCCAAGACATGGAAAACCTTGAACTACTACAATGCCTTCGTCATCTGGTCTCAAGTTATGTAAACCACCTGCTATTTTTGTTTTCTTACTCTTCAATTGCACACAGAAATTCCTGCCTCAAAATAACCAACATAGACACAGGAGGCTTCTCCTGTTTTTACCCTGGTAACTCTTGAGGAGGAATTGGCCTCATTTTGTCTCCAACATTGTAGCTACACCCCTACGTAGAAATGTCAGGTTCCTTCTCCATATTCTTAGGTGACCTCTAGGATCAAATTATGCATTATGCCATTGCATTATTTGCTTTCAAAATGCATCTTTTTCCGACTTTAGTAGTTGGGAGAAGTACTACTCAGCCTTAGGAATACAGCAATTGGGGTTTGAAGAGCATGCCTCAAAATACCATGATCCTACCCAAACACCCCGTTTGTCATCTTCCCCAACTGCTATTTGTCATGGGTGGGAAGCTGACATGAATCCTTTCCAAGATTTCACATGTAGCCCATCATCATCAGAGTGGTCAAGATGACAAGTTACCAATGAGAAGAGACACACAAGCTGAGAGGCTGAGGCAGTTTGCTTTTTCCTGAGCCTCTTGGGAAACACAGTATTTCACCTCTCCCTCCTCTCTAGTTCAATGCAAGCTACCTTTATCAGTTGTTCCCAACCTTTGGTCCTCCAGGTGTTTTGGACTTCATCTCCCATGATTCCTAACAGCTGGTAAGCTGGCTGGTATTTCTGGGAGTTGAAGTCCAAAACACCTGGAGGACCAAAAGTTGGGAACCACTTTAGTTGAATTGGGTTAACTCAGTGCAAATTACATTTAGATTCTGAACTCAGTTTGCAGTAAACTGAGGACAAAGGAAGAAAGCAGAAGGTGGAGAGAGAAATTGGGACATTCTAAAAGCATCTGCAAATCTGGGATGACAGAAGATTAATTCAGACTGCCCCTGCCAAACCAAGACAGTTGGTAAGTGAGACATTTTTTGCAATAGCACCTTTCATTTCAAGCATGATAGGAATTAACAGTGAGGGTAATTTTCAATGGAAGTATAGTGCAGAAGCAAAGGGTTAACCCTCCCATCAGTTTTCTACTATGTCTGCAATTTGGTGTTTTTTTTTAACCAGTACCCGCAGAGAATATGGGCATGCAAAATCAGAAATAATGCAAACCCTATTGAAATGAAATACATGCCTTCAATTTACCTGTTGACTTATGGTAACCCCATGGATTTTTCATAGATAAGAGCTCCTCTGAGTTTACCAGTTCCTTCCTCTAAAATATAGTCTGGTATTTGTTGGTGGTTTCCCAACCAAGTACCAACCAGATCCGACCATACGTAGCTTCCCAGATTCAATAGGATTTGGCATTTATGTCCCCCGGACAACCTTTACATGCACATACACACATACACAAATACCAATACTGCTGCCATGGACCACCTGAATAGGTTACACCACCATAACTGACTTCTCCATTTGTACATCCCGCCTTTTGTGCATTAGGGGACACTTCATTTGAATGAGTAGAAGGGACAGCATTAGTTTTGTGCCTTCTGCATACTAAACAAAAGCACCCAAGGCTCCACAAAAGCCTGGTGCATAGCACGCACATATATACACACCCACTGGAGGCACATACACAAACCCAAGTCCCTTCTGCAGGCAGGTGTGTTATCCTTATCATTATTAAAATACTTAATGTTACTCTCAGCGACCTGTAGAAATTCAGACAGTAGTCATCAGTTTGAGCGAGCCAGATCGAAAGCGGAGGATTTTTTTCTTAAGGTTATGCGAGGCTTTAATCTTAACGAAAGCCTTGGCTGCGTTTTCATGGAGCTCCGAAGCTGTGGCAACTGCCTGGATGGGAAGAGTCTGGACAAACTGGGACCAGATGAGGCCTCCGCTCTCGTCCGAGTCACTGGTTGTCGTGCTTTCGCCAACAAACTCCACCCCGCTCAAGCTGGACTCGCTGTCCCCAAAACAATTGGTTGTATAATTGCTCCTTTCATCCTCGCTGGTATCCACAACTGTGGAATGGAAAAGGGATTCGCACTCTGCCGAATACTCCGAGTCGCTGGCCACGTAGGCATAGGGACTGGCATAAGGGTGGGGGACCTGCGCATAAACCCCAGCTGCTTCTCTCCGGTTCCTCCTGGCCCTCCGAAGGGCTTCCTCGTACGACACCTCGGCCGACAGTTTCCAGCGGCGATAATCGGCCCGCTTATGCTTGGGTTTGGCTACCACAGGTTCTCGGCCATGGCCGTGGGGCCTCAATCCGGATTTCAACACACCCGGCGGCCGGTTGAGAAGGCTGGTCTCTGGCAGAAGATGGTTGCTCTTCTTCCCTCTCACGGTGGCCTTCTTTGGCTTCCTAGTTATATCCGAGTCATCAGGGAACCGGCACTTTTTGCTCATGGATTTGCCTTTCTCACGAGCAACCAGTGGCCCATTTTCCATCACGGTGACCAGATGGGACCTGTGTTTGGCCATAGAGCTCTTGAGGATTTTGACACTTCTGGTGCCCTTGTGAAGTCTCAACGTTTGAGGCTCGGCTTGTACATACTGACCGTTCACCAGTGCAGACTCCTCCAGGCTCTGAGAAGATGATCCTTCGCTCTTGAAATCCAAGGGAAGCCTAGTTTCCTGTGTCGGAGGAATGGAGCAAGCTACTTGTACCCCACTGTTTTTGAACAGTATCTTTTTGGGAACGTGGGTAGGTTTATTGTCCTTCAGAAGTGTCCCATGCCGGCAAGGGCTTTCCTTAGGACACGCCACAAAGGACTGGCCACTTTCCTTGCCCATGTCCCCCTTGCCGACTACTGGACACCGTGCCACCTCTTGGGATTTGACATTCCTTGTTGGAGGTTTGCTTTGAGGTTCATTGTTAGCATTTGTGGGGGGCACCTTTTTGGTCTCCTGGTGCTCCGTTTCTTTTGAGTGCTGCTTTGAGGGGGAGAAGGCACCATTTTCAATAGTTGTGGGAGTTCCACCAGAAGGAGGAAATACCTGACCCACATTCTTAAGAGTTGTAGCATTGTGGAGGGTTGTGCCCGTCACCTGACGAAGGCACATGCTTCCATGTCTCAAAATCCCTTTAGTGGGGTCTGCGTTCAGGTTGGTTCTTGGTTTATTAGTCCTCACCGAAGGGATGCGTTTCTGCACAAGGCTCAAGATGTAGCTGTCCATTTTGCGGCTGGTGGTGGGACAGGACGCAGAATGAGGGATGTGAGGGAGACACGGAGCACCTGATTTGGCTGAATTAGGTTCAGCTCCAGCATCAACATCGATGGTGTTAACATCAGATTTCTCTTCCTCTTCTCTCAAGGGGCTACCGGCCACTGGCAGAAGAAACATTGGACTCTGAACAGCAACTGCGTGTAGGGGACTGGGGTAGCGGTATACATCATTCCCATTTTTGGACACCAGATCACACTGATATTTTGGATGCACATCAGCAATCACATCCAAGGAATTGGAGTGTGGCGTAGAAGGAGAAGCCATCCCCGTAGACTGGTCTTCATGTTGGCTTCCCTTGTTACATTCCAGCCAGCCAATGAGATCTGAAATTCAACAGGAAGAAAAATAAGTAATAATAATAATAATAAACAAACATTATTTGTACCCCACCACCATCTCCCCAATGGGGACTCGGGGTGGCTTACATAAGGCCAAGCCCAACAACACAATACAATAGATAAATAGCTTGAAGAAGCACATCTGAAAATCATTAAGTCAGACCACCGCAATTACACAACTACATAGTGCAGTGGTCCTCAACCTGGGGTCCCCTTTTGGCCTTCAACTCCCAGAAATCTTAACGGTTGGTAAACTGGCTGGGATTTCTGAGAGTTGTAGGCCAAAACACCTGGGGACCCACAGGTTGAGAACCACTGACATAGTGTCTCCCAGCCCAACTCCTTATTTACTAGGCAGCAGCTGCTGCAAATAACCACCATCTGTTCCTCTCTCAGTCAAGAAGCAGCCAATTGATATTCTGTGTGACAGCCAAAAGCAGTATCTCTGTTCCCTCTTGTATTAGAGACCACTTACATGAAAGCTGTAGAAACATCAGCTGGTTGCTTCCCAGTTAACAGGAGAACAGACTCTTGTTGTTTGCAATGGCTGCTGTCTGGTTAGTGGTGACTTATGCATTAGTCATCTAATGTTTACATATGTTGTTTTACCGTTGTTTTAAATTGTTATTTAATTGCTTTTAATTGTTATTGTTGTTTGGGCATGAAATAATGCCAATTATGTAAGCTGCCCTGGGTCCCCTTTGGGGTGAGAAACGGCGGAGTATAAAATGTTGTAAATAAATAAATAATGCATTCCCTAAATGAGTGGACATGTAGGATATTAATGTGTACTCAGACATATAAACTGTTGGTATATTCATTTGCTAATGTAAAAACAAGCAAAGTAAATAATTTGTTATATATAAGGGGGGAGACAAATTGGTAAACTATAGAAAAATAGGTTCTTGTGGGTTTTTTCGGGCTATAGGGCCATGTTCTAGAGGCATTTCTCCTGACGTTTCGCCTGCATCTATAGCAAGCATCCTCAGAGGTAGTGAGGTCTGTTGGAAATAGGACAATGGGTTTATATATCTGTGGAATGGCTGGGGTGGGGCAAAGAGCTCTTCTCTGCTGGAGCTAGGTGTGAATATTTCAACTGACCACCATTAGCATTTGAAGGCCTGCCTGAGCCTGGGAAAATCATTTGTTGAGAGGTGTTAAGATGTGCCTGGTTGTTTCCTCTTCTACAGAAAAATAGAAACAGAGAAGCAGAAAATCCTATCTTAAAATGGATTGATGTTTGTACTTTAGATTTATGTTTAGTTAGAGATATAAGATGGTGAGAGAAACTGTGACGTCAGTTATGTAAATGTTGTTTGTGTATATATAAGAATACTTGTTTTTGAAAAAAGGTGAAAACCTGGCTTTTTGAGCAGGCCTTCCCAAATATAGCATAGCTATACAAAATTATGGAAATACTTGATAACGCAATGGAATAATGACTTGATATGGAGACACTCACAATAATGTTTTAAGGCTATGTACAGTTTTTTATATTTTTATATCATGCTATTGTTTTTAGGGAGGAGGGAGCAAGCTTGTTTTCTGCTTCCCTGGAGACTAGGACGCGGAACAATGGCTTCAAACTACAAGAGAGGAGATTCCCTCTGAACATGAGGAAGAACTTCCTGACTGTGAGATCCGTTCAGCAGTGGAACTCTCTGCCCCGGAGTGTGGTGGAGGCTCCTTCTTTGGAAGCTTTTAAACAAGGGCTGGATGGCCATCTGTCAGGAGTGATTTGAATGCAATATTCCTGCTTCTTGGCAGGGGGTTGGACTGGATGGCCCATGAGGTCTCTTCCAACTCTTTGATTCTATGATTCTATGATTAGCATAATTTTATGATTGTTTTACTTATTATAATTGTTGAGACATTGAATTGTTGCCAATCTGTGAACCACTCCAAGTCGCCTCTGTGCTGAGAGGGACGGTCTATAAATATGGTAAATAAATACATAAATAAATAAATTTCTTTGTGTTTTTCTATTTAAATTAGAATTAAAACGTAAGGAATGTGTAGCTTTAAATTACACAATCATGACTTCCTTAGTAAATTATGGCCCATATAAGCTTCTTAGAGCCAAAATAAAATTTCACATTCTATATTTTTCATCTTTTTAAAAAGTGAACAAAGTTAAATAAAATCCCAAGGAGAGGATTACTCAAGGACACAGTTTCCAGCAAACTCTGATTTCCATGGCTGGTGACCAAGATCTCCCTTCTCCAAACTTCTGAATCTCAAAACTGGGGCACTGTTCCACCACACCCCACTGGAATTGAAACTATCCTTCTTCCTCTTATCTGAGCACCATTGTTCTGTGTTTTGCTAATGTTCCCATAAAAATTAAAAGCTTAAGACTGGAAGTTCAGTTGGGTTTTGGCAGGGCTTTCTTTTAGCATTCCTAGCAGAGGTTTCTGCAACACACCCATCTAATTTGGAGCATGGGAATAGAAGAGAGCAGGGAAGGAAGTGTTGTCGTTTGGATGTTCTGCTTTCCCACCAGGCCACATGCATGAGATCATCTGAAGCATGAGCATTTACCATGCTTTTCTGTGTTGTAACTGGTTGAAAAGTGCAGCACTAACGTAAAATGCTCATGGGCCATGTGTATCATAGAATCCTAGAGTTTGAAGAGATCTCATGGGCCATCCAGTCCAACCCCCCGCCAAGAGCAGGAAAATTACATTCAAAACACCCCTGAAAGATGGCCATCCAGCCTCTGTTTAAAAGCTTCCAAAGAAGGAGCCTCCACCACACTCCTCTCACCACACGGCTCTCGCCTCCAAAGAAGGAGCCGCCACCACACTATGGGGCACAGAGTTCCACTGCTGAACTACTCTCACAGTCAAGAAGTTCTTCCTCATGTTCAGATGGAATCTCCTCTCTTGTCATTTGAAGCCATTGTTCCACGTCCTAGTCTCCAGGGAAACAGAAAATAAGCTTGCTCCCTCCTCCCTATGACTTCCTCTCACATATTTATACATGTCTCCTCTCAGTCTTCTCTTCTTCAGGCTAAACATGCCCAGCTCTTTAAGCCGCTCCTCATGGGGCTTGTTCTCCAGACCCTTGATCATTTGAGTCACCCTCCTCTGGACACATTCCAGCTTGTCAATATCTCTCTTCAATTGTGGTGCCCAGAATTGGACACAATATTCCAGGTGTGGTCTAACCAAAGCAGAATAGAGCATGGGGAGCATGACTTCCCTGGATCTAGACACTAAAATCCTATTGATGCAGGCCAAAATCCCATTGGCTTTTTTGCTGCCTCATCACATTGTATAGGCCATGACTTTTCAACCCCATGCATTTTAGTGTTTTCTCAAGCAAGGAATCCTCAGAGGTGGTTTTGTCAGCTCCTTCCTCTGAAATAAAACCTCCTGCACCTGGTATGTATTAGTGGTTTCCCATCCAAGTACTAACCAGGGCTTATCCTGCTCAACTTCCAAGATCAGATAGGATCTGGTATTTAGCCAGATCAACTCGGAGATACAGAGATAATGCTTACTGATCCTGCTCAGGATTAGTGCTCAGTGGTACTGACAAGACCAAGGATTAAGGTTCTAGTTGCAAAATAGCACTATTATAAACAACAGTATGTACAAAATCAAGGAGCCCTCGGTGGCGGAGTGGGTTAAACCACTGAGCTGCTGAGTTTGTTGACCGAAAGGTCGCAGGTTCGAATCCGGGGAGTGGCGTGAGCTTCTGCTGTCAGCCCCAGCTTCTGCCAACCTAGCAGTTCGAAAACATGCAAATGTGAGTAGAGCAATAGGTACCACTCCGGCAGGAAGGTAACGGTGCTCCATGCAATCATGCTGGCCACATGACCTTGGAGGTGTCTACGGACAACGCCGGCTCTTCGGCTTAGAAATGGAGATGAGCACCACACCCCAGAGTCGGACACAACTGGACTTCATGTCAGGGGAAAACCTTTACCATTACTATGTACAAAATCTATGTTTTGTAAGCAATACAAAGCTAAGATCAAATTGGGATGCTGTGGTTTTTGACTCTGAATATGTTTTAAGGGTTTTTAACTGGAATTTTTTTAATACTGTTAATATTTAATCCTGTTTTAACGTTTGCATATTGGTATAGAATCATAGAATCATAGAATCAAAGAGTTGGAAGAGACCTCATGGGCCATCCAGTCCAACCCCATTCTGCCAAGAAGCAGGAATATTGCATTCAAATCCCCCGACAGATGGCCATCCAGCCTCTTTTTAAAAGCTTCCAAAGAAGGAGCCTCCACCACACTCAGGGGCAGAGAGTTCCACTGCTGAACGGCTCTCACAGTCAGGAAGTTCTTCCTAATGTTCAGATGGAATCTTCTTTCTTGTAGTTTGAAGCCATTGTTTCGTGTCCTAGTCTCGGTATATTTTAAATGATATGCTAATGCTTTTATGTTAAGCCACTTTGAAGTCCCTGTTGGGGCCACGGTTAGCACAGTGGGTTAAACTGCCAGCGACAGAAAATCTTTCCGACCGGAAGGTTGGCAGTTCAAGCTGCAGGTTGGGGTGTGCTCCCACCATCAGCCCTAGCTTCTGCTTACTTAGCAGTTCTAAAACAACGTGAGTAGATAAATAGGTACTGCTGTGGTAGGGATGTAAAAAGCGCCCCTGAAGACATGCCGGCAATTCAATCAGGAAGGCATCCATGGACAACAGGCTCCTCGGCATGGAAAAATAGAACAACAACACCTCACCATAGCCGAGTCAAGCACAGCCAGAAATGAAAAAGAAGGAAGCCTTGCCTCTGTCTATGTATTGTCTATCTGTTTATTGTCTGTCTGTCTCCCACCAGATATACTCCATTTACCTATCTCACCCAGGGTTGCATGATTTTATCCCTGCATTTGTCTCAGCCCACTCTTCTCAACACTTCATTTTTAACTTTTTATTTTATTTCATACCCTGTGTTCATCCTATTGTATTGTTTTTTATTGTTTGTATTTTATTTGATTTATTACCTGCTCTATGTATTTTATTTTGTTTTATTATCATTGTTGGGCTTGGCCTCACGTCAGCCGCCCCAAGGTCCTGCGGGGAGATGATGGTGGTGGGATATAAATAAAGTTTATTATTATTAATAATAATAATATTAATATTAATATTAGTTAATTGTTAATTGTGTAACTCCGAACTCAAGAACAGAAAACGGAATGTTGGTGGACAGGAAAAGAGATTTAAATATGGGCTCAAAGCCAACCTTAAAATCTCTGGCATAGACACTGAGAAATGGGAAGCCCTGGCCCTTGACTGCTCCAGCTGGAGGTCAGCTGTGACCAGCAGTGCTGCAGAATTCGAGGAGGCATGAGTAGAGGGTGAAAGAGAGAAATGTGCCTGGAGGAAGGCGCATCAAGCCAACCCCGACCGGGAGCGCCTTCCACCTGGAAACCAATGCCTTTACTGTGGGAGAAGATGCGGGTCAAGAATAAGGCTCCACAGCCACCTACAAACCGACAAAAATAGTCATCAAGGAAGACCATCTTACTCGTCCAACGAGGGATCGCCTAAGTAAGTAAGTGTGTAACGGCACTGAATATTTGCCATATATGTATTCAGTAATCAGCTCTGAGTCCCCTTGGGGAGATAGAGCAGAATACAAATAAAGTATATTATTAAATATATTATAAATGTGTTTATATATGCTTATGGCTGTCTTATTGTAAACATAGTCTTATAGGTTACTGTTATGTGTGCTTGCTCTGTATTGTTTTTAAAATGCCACGAGCCGCTTTAGGTTCCATTTAAGGAGAAAAGTGGGATACAAGTAAATATATATTTTATATATTTATTATTATTATTATTATTATTATTATTATTCCCACAATTACCCACTTTGGCATTTTTTTTCACTGCAAAAATGGGAAAGAAATGCAGTTCTTCTGAAGAGGGTCTTTCTAAATGGCTTTCAAGAGTATGAAGACTAAATAACAAAATGATGGAGATCCATTTTTCTTCAAGGCTTGGAGACAAGCAAGTGAATGATGCAAGTATAAGGAGCAACGTGACTCACTGTGGAAAAGAACTCTGTGAAAGTTGCCTACTTTGAGAACTGATGGAAGTGTTGGGCTGTTGGCTTCCAAGTCAGTGGGGCAGTAAATCTGTGCCCCATTGACTTTAAAATTGGGAAACTCTAAACTTTAAAGAACCTATTCAAGGACCTATCCTAGTTCAAACAAATTCAGCACTCTGGATAGCTCCTTTAAAGTTCAAAATTGATTGATGGAAACCACCAGTCTCCATCAACCAACGCCAAAGATTCATCAGGACAGGCTTTACTAATTTGTAATGTGAGGCAACTGCCTCATGTGGAAAATGTTTGGGATGGGGAGCAGCAATGGAATTCCTTTGGCTTTTCCTCTTGCATCCCTCAACCATACTCCTCATTGCAGGATGGGCCTTGACTTATGTCTTCAAAAGTGCTCCCTTTGGTGTGCTCCCAAAGATAGATGGAACCTGGAAAAGGTACTTGTTTGAACTGCAACACCTCAAATCTACACCAATATCTGGCCTGCTGTGCCGATATTGCATGTCCAATCCTACCACCATAGTGCTGTTGGGTTGCAATAACTAATCCGTTATACTGTCTGTTAGCCAAAGAGTGCTGAGAAACACATTACCAACACTTGGTTGATCAGGAATTGCAGAACCAATGCAGTGTAACAAATAGAAAGATGGGCTTGACTTAGGAGGCCCAAGTTCTAGTCCTCACAGAGCTTTGAAAAGCCACTAGGCGACTCTTTTTCTGAGCCAGACCAACAGGATTGTAGTTAAGGATGAAGTGAAGTGGAGGAGAGCCATGTATACCATCTTTTGATGGAAGCCGGGATACCCAGGTTTAACTGGTGGGTTCCTGCAATGACCCAAGAGGTTGGACTAGATGACTTTTGGGTTCCCTCCGTCACTACAGTTGTACGATTCAGTGAACGAATGAATGAATAAACATTTTCAAATATCACACAGACTGGCCAAACCAGGCATACTCTTAAACTATTTCTGTATCAGTCTCTCCATTTCCAGCCCTACCTGCAGACTTGGGGCGTCCATCTGAGCTGTTCAAGGAGGCATCCAAAGGGCTGCAGAAACAGGTGCTGGAAGGGCAGCTGGACAAACACTCGCTGAACACAGAGTTGGAGGAGTTGGAGAGGGACCCAGAAGTGCCATCACTCAGCTCATAAAACCCTAAAGCAACAGCAAAAGAATCCATTAATATTATATCGGGTTAGGACAATATATATATTTATGTGTACATACAGGTGCCTTCAAGTCTTCTGTTGACTTATGACGACCCCATATATTTCCCAGGTTTTTCTTAGGCAAGGAATACTCAGAGGCAGTTTTTCCAGTTTCTTCCTCTGAAATACATCCTACAGCATTCTCAAGCAAGAATACAAACATACCACAGCTGTTGCAAGTGAATACATAAGCCTCCTCACCATCCATTTATAGAAGTCCCTGACCCATGAATGGGTATAGGAAGGACTGACCAGCCTAGTAGCTGGAAATATTATTATGATTATGATGGGAGATGTGTCAGATGGGGGTGATGAATTCCTCCATCCAGGATGATCAAAAAAGTACATACACAAACGTAAAGTTTGATCACACCTGTGTATGTCTCTGACTTGATGTCACCCTATGGCCAAGTCTTTGTAACACATAGTATAGCATAAATATAATGCGGGATGAACTGTACTGTATCTCTCCTCTCAATCCTCTAAGACTCACCATTGAGCTACTGCAAATTTCCACCAGATATCTTTCAGAGACAGAGAATGGAGAAGATTTTTTTCTAAAGTCTGACTGTGCCCTTATAACCAGACACAGAGCAATGGCATCATTGATCAACACCCCTTATGTTCCTCTAGAACAGTGTTTCTCAACCTGGCGGTCGGGACCCCTGGGGGAGGGTCATGAGGGGGTGTCAGAGGGGTCACCAAAAACCATCTGAAACACATCATTTTCTCTTGGTCATTGGGGGTTCTCTGTAGGAAGTTTGGCCCAATTCTATTGTTAGTGTTCTTTGATTGTAGGTGAACTATAAATCTGAGCAACTAAACTTCCAAATGTCAAGGTCTATTTTCCGCAAACTCCCCCAGTGTTCATATTTGGGCACATTGAGTATTTGTGCCAAGTTTGGTCCAGATCCATCATTGTTTGAGTCCACAGTGGTCTTTGGATGTAGATGAACTACAACTCCAAAAGTCAAGGTCAATGCTCACCAAAGCCTTCCAGTATTTTCTGTTGGTCCTGGGGGTTCTGTGTGCCAAGTCTGGTTCAATTGCATCATTGGTGGCATTCAGAATGCTCTTTGATTGTAGGTGAACTATAAATCCAAGCAACTAAACTTCCAAATGTCAAGGTCAATTTTCCCCAAACTCCACCGGAGTTCACATTTGGGCATATTGAGTATTCATGCCGGGTTTGGTCCAGATCTATCATTGAGCCCACAGTGCTCTTTAGATGCAGGTGAACTATTTATTTTTATTGGTCATGTCAGGGCAACCAGTCAATTATATTACATTTCTAACAGAACAAAGCAAACAAACAGGCAAAATACAAAATGTGTGGGTTTGGTAGTTGATTAAATGTCCTTTGACCAGTAGCTGGCCACTTGGAGTGCTTCTGGTGTTGCTACAACTCCAAAACTCAAGGTCAATGCCCACCAAACCTTTCCAGTATTTTCTGTTGGTCATGAGAGTTCTGTGTGCCAAATGACAAAATTAAATTGTGCCAAATTGACTGGGGTGAGCTCCCATTGTTAGCCTCAGCTTCTGCCAACCTAGCAGTTCAAAAAACATGCAAATGTGAGTAGATCAATAGGTACCGCTCCAATGGGAGGGTAATGGTGCTCCATGCAGTCATGCTGGCCACATGACCTTGGAGGTGTCTACGGACAACGCCGACTCTTCGGCTTAGAAATTGAGATGAGCACCAACCCCCAGAGTTGGACGCGACTGGACTTCATGTCAGGGGAAACCTTTACCTTTATATATCAAAGGAGCCATGGATATACACCCCAATTAATCACCCACCTGAGCTGGGGCGGCTGTCCGTCTCAAGGTGCTCATCTGCTGTTTTTTCCACATCCAGCCTCAAATCGCTGATCTGCTTGTCCAGTTCTTGCAGCTGGTTTAAGAGTCCTGCATCACGTCTTCTCAAGCAGTTCTGCCACAACAGAAAAGAAAACAATCTCATTAATTCATTGGTTTTATTTAATTTATAACTCAAGCTTTTTCTAGATCAGGGACCCAAGACGGATCGCAGCAACGCTGGAACAAGATACAACTCAAAACCCGATGATTAACAAAAAAAAAAACAACATTAAATTAGCTATCATATTAAAATACCAAGAATGAAAGAGTAAAAAAAAATTGCAGAACGGTGAAGACAGAATTGCAGCACACAAGCCTCATTAAAGAAATCCATCTGCACAGCCAATTAGGCACCAAATGCCTGTTTAAATAAGACATGATCAAGCCAGGAAGAGCAAATTAACTGTAACAATCAACGTTTTGAGGAAGGTACATGCAATTATATTTCCCATTGCGACGTATGGCTGCGAAAGCTAAACAGAGAAGAAAGGTGAGAGGAAGAAAATCAACTCGTTTGAAATGTGGTGCGAGAGAAGAGTGCTATGGACTGCTAGAAAGACAGATTAAAGGCAAATCAAGCCTGAACTCTCCTTGGAAATCAAGAGGAGTAAACTGAGACTATCATACTTTAGCACCGGCATGGGCAAACTTTGGCTCTTCAAGTGTTCAGGCTCTTCAATGGTGGGAGTTGAAGTCCAAAACCCCTGGAAGGCCGAAGTTTGCCCATGCCTGCTTTAGCCATATCAGGAGAAGACAACTCACTAGAAAAGGCAATATTGCTTGGATGGTAGAAGACCTCAAGAACCAAAGGAAACCATATTCCAGATGGAGAGGTTCAATCAGGAAAGCCACAGTTGCCCAGTGTCTGCAAGACCTGAGCAGGGTTGCTGACGCCAAGGTGATAGGAGATACTTCATTCATGGAGCCACTATAAGTCAAAGTTCACTGATGGCAATGATGACGACAACAACAAGGCATTCCCAGAATCCTACAGCTATAACAGGTATGAGCAAACTCTAGCCCTCCAAGTGTTTTGGACTCCGACTTTAGCTTAAGTGGCTGAGGGGGAAAAGGAAAAGAGCCTGAGGCTACTAGGAATTGTGGAAGTCCAAAACCCCTGAGGGCCAAAGATGGAGAAGCTGAATCAAGAAAGCCACGGTTGCCCTGTGTTTGCAAGACCTGAGCAGCGTTGCTGGTGGCAAGGTGATTAGAGGTATCTCATTCATGGGGCCACCATAAGTCAAATCTCACTGATGGCAATGATGACGATGACCAAAACAACAAGAAGAAGACATTCTCAGAATCCTCCAGTTATAACAGGCATGGGCAAACTCCGGCCCTCCAACTTAAGTGTCTGAGAGGAAAAGGAGAAGAGCCTGAGGCTGTTAGGAATGGTGGGAATTGAATTCCAAAACCCTTGAGGGCCGAAGTTTGTCCATGCCTGCTTTAGCCATATCAGGAGAAGACAACTCACTAGAAAAGGCAATATTGCTTCGATGGTGGAAGACCTCAAGAACCAAGGGCAACCACATTTCAGATGCTCAATCAGGAAAGCCAGAGTTGCCCTGTGTCTGCAAGACCTGAGCAGGGCTGCTGATGGTAAGGTGATTGGAGGTATCTCATTCATGGGGCCACCATAAGTCAAAGCTCACTGATGGCAATGATGACGATGGCATCAACAACAACAAGCCATTCCCAGAATCCTCCAGCTATAACAGGTATGGGCAAACTCCAGCCCTCCAAGTGTTTTGGACTCCAACTTTAGCTTATGGTGCTGAGGGGGAAAAGGAAGGGGGGCTGAGGCTATTAGGAGTTGTGGAAGTCCAAAACACCTAAAGAGCCAAAGTTTGCCCATGCCTGCCTTAGCCATATCAGAGGAAGACAACTCACTAGAAAAGGCAATATTGCTTGGAGGGTAGAAGACCTCAAGAACCAAGGGAAACCATATTCCAGATGGAGAGGCTCAATCAAGAAAGCCACAGTTGCCCCATGTCTGCAAGACCTGAGCAGGGTTGCTGATGGCAAGGTGATTGGAGGTATCTCATTCATGGGGCCACCATAGGGCAAAGCTCACTGATGGCAATGACAACAACAAGGCATTCCCAGAATCCTCCAGCAGGTATGGGCAAACTCCAGCCCTCCAAGTGTTTTGGACTCCAACTTTAGCTTAAGGGGCTGAGGGGGAAAAGGAAGGGGCCTGAAGCTGTTAGGAATTGTGGAAGTTGAAGTCCAATACCCCGGAGAGCCGAAGATGGAGAGGCTGAATCAGGAAAGCCACAGTTGCCACATGTCTGCAAGACCTGAACAGGGTTGCTGATGGCAAGGTGATTAGAGGTATCTCATTCACGGGACCACCATAAGCTAAAGCTCACTCATGGCAATGATGACGATGACCATAACAACAACAACAACAACAACAACAACAACAATAACAAGACATTCTCAGAATCCTCCAGCTATAACAGGCATGGGCAAACTCCGGCCCTCCAACTTAAGCTTAAACGGCTGAGGGGGGAAAGGAAAAGGGCCTGAGGCTGTTAGGAATTGTGGGAGTTGAAGTCCAAAACCCCTGGAGGGCCGAAGTTTGCCCATGCCTGCTTTAGCCATATCAGGAGAACACAACTCACTAGAAAAGGGAATATTGCTTGGATGGTAGAAGACCTCAAGAACCAAAGGAAACAACGTTCCAGATGGAGAGTCTCAATCAGGAAAGCCACAGTTGCCCTGTTTCTGCAAGACCTGAGCAGGGTTGCTGATGGTAAGGTGATTGGAGGTACCTCGTTCATGGAGCCACCATAAGTCAAAGTTCACTGATGGCAATGATGATGACAACAACAACATCAACAAGGCATTCCCAGAATCCTCCAGGTATAACAGGTATGGGCAAACTCCATCTCTCCAAGTGTTTTGGACTCCAACTTTAGCTTAAGGGGCTGAGGGGGAAAAGGAAGGGGGCTGAGGCTATTAGGAATTGTGGAAGTCCAAAACACCTGAAGAGCCAAAGTTTGCTCATGCCTGCTTTAGCCATATCAGGAGAAGACAACTCACTAGAAAAGGTAATACTGCTTGGATGGTAGAAGACCTCAAGAACCAAGGGTAACCACATTCCAGATGGAGAGGCTCAATCAGGATAGCCCCAGTTGCCCCGTGTCTTCAAGACCTGAGCAGGGTTGCTGATGGCAAGGTGACTGGAGGTATCTCATTCATGGGGCCACCATAAATCAAATATCACTGATGGCGATGACAACAACAACAACGACAACAACGACAACAACAACAACAACAACAACAACAAGGCATTCCCAGAATCCTCCAGGTATAACAGGTATGGGCAAACTCCAGCCCTCCAAGTGTTTTGGACTCCAACTTTAGCTTAAGGGGCTGAGGGGGGAAAGGAAGGGGCCTGAGGTTGTTAGGAATTGTGGGAGTTGAAGTCCAAAATCCCTGGAGGGCCAGAGTTTGCTCATACCTGAGCTATAATGACCTATTTCCAATCTCTGCAGTCTAAAAAGGGGAATTATAGAAATTGTAGTATTTCTCCACTCCATTAAAAACCACAATTCTGCTTCTTGTACAACTCAACTCCTGTATCCAGAACTGCTGGAACTATTACAGGTTGACGATCCCTTGACCAAGATGCTTATGACTAGAAATGTTTTGGGATTTTTGCATTCATAGTACAGTATCTGCAAGGGACTCAATCTTGGACTTTGTGTGGATAGATACACAAAACAACAGACAGCAGTGAACTTTATGGTTAGGGGTCACCACCACATGAGGAACCTGTATTAAGGGATCGCGGCATTAGGAAGGTTGGAAAACACTGATTATAGACGTTCTGTAGTTTTTTGGCATTTCCTTTGACTCCCAGTCCTATAACCTTTGGGTACATCTTCACTGTGGAATTAGAGCAGTCTGACTTTAATTGTCATGAATCCATGCTATGGAATCCTGGGATTTGTAGTTTGGTGAAGCACTATCATTCTCTGGCAGAGAAACCTTGTAAAGCTACCTTGTAAAGCTACAAATCCAATGATTCCACAGCATTGAGCCATGGCCGTTAAGGTGAAGTCAAACTGCATTAATTCTAGAGTGTAGATGCACCCTTTGAAAGAGTAAAAAGATATATTTTCTAGGCATTTTAAAGCAGAAACCCAACCTCATTTTATAATGCAGGCATTCATTTATGCCACTCTCCATTTACACACAAAGGATCTATATCCTTCTACAGCAAGCCGACCTGATTGTGTGTACTGCATCGATGCAAGAGAAGGACACCTGGTAATTCCCTTCTCTACCCTCAATTATACTAATGCATTGCTTTCTTGAAATAACAAGCAGTTTTGCAAAGGTATTCTTGATGCAAACCGCTACAAAGGAGGAGTTTAAAATAAGCTCATTAACCCTCGGGTCAGAGCAATCACTTTTCCTGCTGAATCTTGTAATTATCTCTATCCATCAGCCAACCAGTTGGATAAAGCTTTTTCTACACAATTTGCTTTGTGCCTTGCACGGTTTCACTGCTCTGCCTTTCCAGAAGGTGTTTCTGTTCAGAAAAAGAAGAATGAGGAATTCATTAACAGGCAGAGGTGCCACTGGGTGATGCGGAGGCATTCGCTTGTTGGCATATTGTGATTCAAAAGCAATTCACGCAGCCCAAGGCCACATTTAAGCACATCTAAATTGCATGGGCATATGCCACAGTGATGATGTTTGGTGACCTCTGTTATATATCTTTGCAAGTTCAGGGCTACATATTGCCACACAGCTTGCAAGGATATATATAACAACATCCCAATTGTTCCAAAATAGGGCCTTTCTCTTTGTCTATCAGCCCTTGTAAAGTCTCCTTTGCTTGCATGGTTAATGCCATAAGCAGGTGATGATGGCCTCTATGGCACTAGGGTCTGAATTTTAATGCAGTTTTCCAAGTGGAAACATGTGAAATAACGGTTTGTGTGTTGAACTAGAAACTCTGGAGACCAGGGTTCGAATCCCTGCTCAGCCATAGAAACCCACTGAAAGACAGACAGACAGAGGAAGAAGGAAGGAAGAGAAGGAAGGGAAGGAAGG